CAGGGAGCCCGATGTGGGACTCGATCCCGGGACTCCAGGATCATGACCTGAGCCGAAGGCAGTCGCTCAACCAACTGAGCCACCCAGGCGCCCTACATGTTACTCTCTTTGTAGTCTAGCTGAAGGTAGCTTGCTGGCATGCTGCATTCCGACTAACTTTTTGTATTTTATAGTCAGTGAAGCCTACAGGGAAATGCTCACAGCAGACAATCTGGATATTGACAACATGAGACACAAAATTCGAGATTATTCCTTATCAGGAGCCTACCGAAAGATCATTATTCGTCCTCAGAATGTCAGTTGGTGAGTGATAGTCTGGAATAAAATAGAACTGAATTATTATGTGAGATTGAAAGCTTTTCCATCACCTGTGTATTTTCCAGTATTTACAACCTGGTGTAGAAGTGCTACTTGCTATTATTACTATTATTATTATTGCTACTACTTGGATTTTTCAAATCATCAGGAAACAAATGAGTGAAAGTGGTTAGGTTTACATTTTATTGACCTTGCTAAATTATTGAAGAAATGTGCAGAGAATAGACTTTTTCCCTATTAATACAAAATTGAGATTTGCTGGGGCACCCGGGTGGCTCTGTTAGTTAAGCGTCCAGCTTGGTTTTGGCTCAGGTCATGATCTCAGGGTGGTGAGATTGAGCCCCGCGTCTGGCTCCAGAGTCTGCTTGAGGGCCCCTCCTCCCCCTACTCTCTCTCTCTCTCTAAAATAAATAAAAAGAGATCTTTTAAAATTCGAGATTTGCTTACAGAACTATCCCTGAGCAAGCTACCTTTATTCAAAATTAGCTGTGGGGGCGCCGGGTGGTTCAGTCATTGAGCATCTGCCTTTGGCTCGGGTCGGGTCATGATCCCAGGGTCCTAGGATCGAGCCCTGCATTGGGCTCCCTGCTCGCCGGGGGGCCTGCTTCTCCCTCTCCCCCTGATTGTGTTCCCTCTCTCGCTGTGTCGGATAAATAAATAAAATCTTTAAAAAAAAAAAAAAGAATTAGCTGTGAGTTCCAAACACAGATCTGTTTAATATCATGTTTCTAAAGAGAAAAATAAACGTGCATTAACTCATTTAAAATATTTCAGTACCTAATGTAAACTAAAGCTTTATTTGATAATTTTTAAAACGAAATCTTGAATTAGTTGTCCATTGCCAGGAAGTTCTCTCTCTTCTCTCTCTCCATCTCATTCTCCCTTTCTATCTTCCCTACTCTGGGTTGTGTGATGAGGTTGGCAGGGTGGGACTTGGTCCTCCCCACTCCAGAGAGCAGTTCCTCATGAGTAATGCAGTGTTGTTAGTAGTGAAAACCACTCTGGAGAAAACATAAACGCCATTATTAATTCATTCGCATCTGTGCAAAGTGTAGTACTTACCAAGTACGTATAAAGAGAATTTCTATCCTAAGGAAACATTTTACATTTTTTTTTTATACAGACTGGCGTCCTTTGTCACCTTGCTGTGTACTAGTATCAAGGCAATACTCACATATATGATCTGGCCCTATCCTGTTACCAAATGGTCCCACCCAGAATTAGTTCCAGCAGGCCTGTGTGTTCTCCTTTCTAAGCAAACGGCAGCAAGCAGCTTAGTACTGTTTATGGTTGTTCACATTCACACTTTTCTTTCTGTATGTGTTTTGAAGGGAAGTCGTTGCATACGATGATCCTAAAATTCCACTCTTCAACACAGATGTGGACAACCTGGAAGGGAAACCGCCACCGGTGTTTGCTTCTGGTAAGTTTACTCAGGGCTCAGTTCTTTGTCAACTGTGAAATGTTTTCTCAATCAAAAACATAAATTACGGGCGCCTGGGTGGCTCGGTCAGTTAAGCATCTGCCTTCGGGTCGGGTCATGATCCCGGGGTCCTGGGATCGAGTCCCGCATCGGGCTCCCTGCTCAGCGGGGAGTCTCCTTCTCCCTCTGCCTCCTCCCTCCTGCTCATGCTCTGTCTCTCTCTCTCTCTCTCAAATAAATGAATAAAGTCCTTTAAAAGAAAGAAAAAAAAAAAAACTCTTGCAGTCACCACTACCTTCCACCAGCTCGGTGATTTCTATTTTGTGTTTTGTCATCTTAGTTTCATGTTTATAGCCTGATCATTAAAATGGTAGATTTCGCTGAAAATGAAGAAACATTACAGAAGATTGTGGTGTTAGATGATCAAATATTTCCTCCACATCCCCACCCCCCGAGTTAACACAGGTGCCATGAACGGAGTCTAACGCGTGAAATTTGCATTGTTACTGTCAAATTCTTGGTGCCATTCCATTGTCTGTTTTCACTCTGTTACTTTTGTGTCATGTTTGCCCTTTTTATGAAGGTTCCGGGTAGAACTACCATAGGGATTCAGCTGGATCGTATACTCCCAGGTCTCACTTCCACGGTTTGCTCTCTGCGGCCCCACGGGAAGTGGCGCCCGAGGGAAGGAGCGTGGTTATTTCCTTCCTGTAGAGATGCTGTGACTCGCCCCAGTCTGTCTGCTGCTGCCTGCCTTTTCTGACCGTTCTCTTCTCTCTTGCCTGGCAGAAGGCAAATACAGAGCTCTGAAGATGGATTTTTCTCTCCCTCCTTCTACTTACGCTACCATGGCCATTCGCGAAGTGCTAAAAGTGGATACCAGCATCAAGAACCAGACCCAGCTGAATACCACCTGGCTCCGCTGAGCCCTTTTCCCCAGATGATAAGATGCACCCAGTGTCCGCCCGCTTCCTGTTCAGACCCATAGGTGTACTTTAGATCCTTGTAGTTCAAGATTATTTGTATTTTTTCAGGTTTTTATTAGCTTAATTTGCAATATTTGTACACATATACAAATCCTGAGGATCCTAATTCTAGCTCAGAGGATATAAATTGATCAGAATATATTTCAGGTGCTTAAGTCATAGTAAAATGTCAGCTTTCCTGGCTTTATCATAATTTAAAAGGACTTTGGTTTAAAGTTGCAGTTTTAGGTTTTGCTACATTCTTAAAGGACAACATGAATTTTTAATGTATCCATGAATGGAGTATGCAACGATGCATTTTAAGAGAAAATGCAACAAAATAAATCTTGACTATGAATAAATAGAATACCCCACCCCTAGCTATTAATACAAGTACAGGACTCATGCTTATTTAAATCATGATAAAACATCTAAGGTTTATGAACACAAAAGTGATGTGTCATCATCTAACTCTTATACCAGGTTTAGGTAAGTGTTGATAGATCTTTTAGTTGCAGTAGCTTTGCATTTATGTTCTCATTGCCTTGCAGGACAGTTGCATTGATAGGACCTTTTTTTCTCGATGTAAACGCGTGCAGCTATTTTTATTAGTCAAGGTCTGATTTTTACTCTAGGTGCCTTTTATGTTCAGAACTCCTTCCACTGGACTGGTTATTTGCCCCAAGATGAATGACAGCAGAGAAGAAAACTTTAAACCTTTCCAAGGGCTCCTCCAATCAGCAGCGTCAGCCTTCGTCACCTTCAGTGTAGGTGTTTCCGTTTCGGGCCCTTGTGTAAAACTTGTCTCTGGTGTGGAAGGTTAAATAGGCCTTTCCAAGTGTGTGTGTGACATAAGTGTGCCGATTTTTATTTTCTACCATTTCTAAAACAAAATATAATAAATATTTTTTAAAACTCCTTTCTACTAGTTATGTTAATCAAATAAATTATCTAAAACCGAGCGCAAATGAGAACCTTGGCCCAGACTGAGGGCAAGGAACGAAGTGAATGAGGGATCCTCAGAGATGGTGTCGGCACAAAGATATGTCCTGCTCGGGTGTGAGATGTCATGAGAATCATACAGTTGAGCGCCAGGCTCTACGGCTGTTGGACCATGTTGGACCACGTTGGACTGGATTCAGGCTTATTCTTCCAGTAGCACCCCTCCCTTGCTTCCCAGCGTGCTTTCTGGAGAGAAGAATGGAGAAAAGCTTCCCTACCAGGAACGTTCCCACCATGGCGGTGTGGGTGACAAATGTCCCAGGTCTGGCAGTGGAAGACTGAGAACTGCTTTTCATCCCTTGTATTTTAATGGCGTCCATCCCACTGCAGAGGTGAAAAAGATTAGAAATCTCGTGGGAAAGAACCCTTTCAGCTGGCTAGTTTCTAAAGAATCTTCTGGCCTACCAAAGCCAAATTTGTTAAATGTATATTGGACTGTTTGCACTTTCTACTGCTAGCGAGTTACTTTCCTTCATCAGACTGATGAGTGAAAAAGTGCTCATGAAGGGGACTAACTGCCTAATGCAAGTGCATTCAGTAGCTCTGCATTTATAAATTTACATTATTGGAAAAAAAAAAAGTGAGGTTAAACTTAGAAATGTTGTCTTCATCTGGGAAATACTTACGGCCCTATGGGATGAGTCCATTTTCTCACTGCATTAGCCAACTGCCAGTTTGTGCATGTTTCTTCTTAAACACCGCTGGGGAAATAATGATTCAAGGCAGAGTCTTAGCGCCATTTTGAGACTTGGGGACCTCCCATCTAACACCAGGGACTTGACAGCTTGGAATATATCATTGCCTTAGCATCAACGTCAGGACATTTTGTTGATCTTAACAAAGGGAAGACATTTCTCTGAGGCAAATTTATAAGCCTAAAGGCTTATAACATTTCCCAGGGCGCCTGGGTGGCTCAGTCGTTAAGCGTCTGCCTTCGGTTCAGGTCATGATCCCAGGGTTCCGGGATCGAGCCCTGCATCGGGCTCCCTGCTCGGCGGGAGGCCTGCTTCTCCCTCTCCCACTCTCCCTGCTTGTGTTCCCTCTCTCGCTGTGTCTCTCTCTGTCAGATAAATAAATAAAATCTTAAAAAGAATTAACGCATAACTTTATTTAAAAAACACCACATTTCCTGGATGAGTCCCACCAAAAACTTGGTAGCACCTGCATAGCACAGGGCTACTTAAAACCTGACCGGCTGTGCCACACGGTACACGTGAGCACAAGCTGCCGGTGGTGCTGGAATGCTCTGTGGGCCTGAACTTCCGTACTGGTCTGTGTGTATGCGGTGTTCTGAGGCAGAAACCGCACACCGTGTCGCCCCCACACGTGAAGAGGTGAAAGCACAGTGGAAGAACTCCGAGCTGTGAAGGGCCCGGCTCCGCCCTCCATAAATTGAAGAGTGTGGCTGCAGAACCAAGGGTCACTTCACGGTTCTCTCTGTTCAGTGAAATCTGCTTTCTGAATTTATAGGGCCCAGTCCTATAGGCTAGAACTTCTCAGTTTGGGATCATGAACTTGAAAAATCGGAGGAAAAAGTATGGATGTTGCCTCCAGAGGAAGGAAAGAGGGCAAGTGTGTATACACACACACACATAGCTAGACATACATAGATATGCTAACTTCTTATACAATTTCAAATAAGACCCTGTACTCTAAGGGCTTTCCAAACTTGAATGTGCATAGGAACCACCTGGCAATCTTGTACACTGTGGGATGTACTTCAGGAACTCCGGGTGGAGTCGGAAATACTTTGCATTTCTAGCAAACTCCCAGAGGGTCCTGCACTGCTAGTCTGCAGTCACACTTGGGGAAGCAAGGCTCTAGACCTGGAGTGGCCAGTGCAACCCCCACCAGCCACAGATGGTTAATTTGAATTTAAGTTAACTTAAAAAAAATTTTTTTTAAGATGTTATTTATTTGACAGAGACGGAGAGCGAGAGCACAAGCAGAGGGAGAGGGAGAAACAGGCCCCCCGGTGAGCAGGAGCCTGATGCAGGACTCCCATTTCAGGACCCCGGGATCGTGACCTGAGCCGAAGGCAGACGCTTAATCGACTGAGCCAGCCAGGCGCCCCCCAAAAAAATTTCTTTAAGTTACATAAAATTTACAATTGAGCTTTCAGTCATACTAGCCACAGTTCCACTGCTCCATTGCCGTGTATGGGCGGCGGCTGCTGTACTGGGTCCACGACTCTAGATATCACCCATCAGTCACACATCAGTCACCGAGCTATACTGGAGTCTGTGTGGATCAGGTGACACCCAGTGGTCCTACTGATTAAGGGCGCATTGTACATGTTCAGCATGTGCAAGTGGGATGACATTGCAATTAGATCCGGGGCTCATATTGATGACTTAAGAGTTCCCCCTTGAGATAGATCACCTTAAGAGTATTCCTTAAACTTGCTTCCATTTTCTGGTCTTCTCCAGGACCACCTGTGATCCCGTTTTCCTACTCTTCTGCCCTTGCTTTGGTCTAGATGCCTTGTGCAAAGATTTAGTCAACCCTGTCTTGGGAAAATCATCCCCCCAAAAGTCTTAACTGCTGCAATTAAAAATGTTCCTTCTTGGGGCACCTGGGTGGCTTAGTCGGTTAAGCGTCTGCCTTCGGCTCGGGTCATGATCTTGGGGTCCTGGGATGGAGTTACGCATTGGGCTTCCTGCTCAGCGGGGAGCCTGCTTCTCCCTCTGCCTCTCTGTCTCTCATGAATAAATAAGATCTTTAAAAAAAATGTTCCTTCTTGGCTGGCATGCACTGTAGCTTCTAATGAAATCAACTGTAAAAAGCAAGGATGGTTAGAGTCCATGTGGTTTGATGTCCCGCAGGCGTACAGTGATCACTTGGCATGGCAGCTTTTCCGCCTGTGCTGAAGACTCCGGGAAAGTGATCAGTATGTAAAAGAGAGAGCAACAGGGAACTGTAATGGGAGACATTATTCAAGACCCCTTATCTTCTAATGTATACTTCCTATCACGTCAAGAGCTCCAAATGTTGCTTTAGAACAATGCTAAGAAGAATATAATGTCCACTCATATGTAATTTAAAATTTTCTAATAGCCGTATTAAGATAGTAAAAAGATCCATTGATAGATAAAGGGATAAAGACACAATGGAATGTTGCTCGGCTATAAAAAAGGATGAGATTGAGGTGCCTGGGTGGCTCAGTCGTTGAGTGTCTGCTCAGATTGTGATCCCAGGGTCCTGGAATCGAGCCCCGCATCGGACTCCCTGCTCAGCGGGAAGCCTGCTTCTCCCTGCTTCTCCCTCTCCCACTCTCCCTGCTTGTGCACTCTGTCTCTCTCTGTCCCTCTCTTTCTTGCTGTCTCTCTCTGTCAAATAAATGAATAGTCTTAAAAAAAAAAATGAGATCTTGTCATTTACAACAACATGGATGGATTTAGAGGGTATAATGCTAAGTGAAATAACTCAGAGAAAGAAATACTGTATGAGTCATTTATGTGTGGAATCTAAAAAAAAAAAAAAAATGAAAGGCAGAAACAGACCCATAAAGGCAGAAACAGACCCATAAATTCAGAGAATAAGCTGATAGCTGCCGGAGGAGAGAGGCGTAGGGGATAGACAATGGGTGAAGGGGTGTGGGAGACACAGGTTTCCAGTTTTATGCAAAGACTAGTCATGGGAATAGAAGGCACGGCTTAGGGAGTATAGTCAATAATATTGTAATAACACTGTATGGTGACGGATGGTGGGAGCACAGCATACCCTATAGACTTGTCAAAATACTATGTTGTACTCCTGAAACTAATGTAACATTGTGTGTCGTCTATACTTCAATTAAAAAAGTGAAAAGAGGCACACCTGGCTGGCTTAGTTGGTAGAGCATGTGACTCTTGATCTCAGGGTCATGGGTTCATGCCCACGTTGGGCATGGAGATTACTTTAAAAAAATAAAAAATAAAAATATTTAAAGTAAAAAGAGGTGAGATTAACTTGATGTATTTTACTTAAACCAATATATCCCAAATATCACTTCAACATGTAACTAATATTAAAAGCTAAAAACAGGCACCTGGCTGGCGCAGTCAGTAGAGCATGTGACTCTTGATCTCGCGGTTGTGAGTTCTGGCCCCACATTTGGGTATAGAGATTACTTAAAAATAAGAATAAATCTTTAAAAAATATATAAAAGCTATGAGGAATTCTTAATCTCAGGAAACAAACTGACGGT